GAGATCCAACTCCTCCCACTTTACATATCCCTAAACCTACCCATTTCCACCCCCTGGATCCCATTTCCACACCTAAACCTACCCATCATCTCCACCCCCTGGATCCCATTTCCATCGCTAAACCTACCCATCTCCACCCCCTGGATCAAATTGTTCCAATTACTCTTATACATATTGTTGTTAAAATGTAGTTATATATGTCCTGTTACACATTTGTACTTACACAAACCATTCGGAGGGTTGTTACATGTGTGTAGTTACAGAAATATTACAGCACCCAGACAGCAACATAGTGTTGGCCCAGATCCGGCCCACATCTGGCCCATGTGAAATCCATGCGGGCCAGATGTGAGCCGGATCTGGGCCGAAACTGTCTGCTGTCTGGGAAGCATACTTTTTCATTTTATAATGCCATTTATTGCTCTTCTTCATAGTAGGTGCATTTTAAAAATGTTTTCCGGATGAATCCTGGACTCCTGCTCAAAATGATAAAATTAATATAACGACAGCTACAAAAAAACAAAAAAAAGCCCGCCAAACTGTTGTTGGAAAGGAGCTGCGGTTTTTTCTGGATAAAAACACGATAACGTTTACATTTATCAACCAATTTCAGAGGTTTGTGATCTACATGGAGTTAAAAATAACTCTGCCTCCATTGAATAAAAACAGAGAATACAAATGGTAGTCTGCTTTTTATTTTGATGGCACTCTATACAGATAAACTCCACAACAAACAATAACAAATGCAACTGATAATCCTTTATGGATCCAGTAAAACTTACACTTACAGTGGTAAAATATTATGCACTGATACAGTGCACAGTAAAAGTGATATGTAATATTAAAAAGTATATGTGGTACAAGTTGTAGTAAAGTGAATAATATAAAAAGTGAGTACAACAGTATATAATATATTTATAATAGCATAAATTATATGTATAATACCATAATAAATAAATTAATAACAATAGATGAATAATAGCAAGTAGAATATGTAATGTCAAGGGTGGAATAATACAGAATAGACAATAATGAAGAATAAATTAATAGTAAAGTAAAATAAATAATCATGAAATGTAGTTTTATATATTTAATAGTATTGTGTAATAATTATTAAACAAAGTAAGAAACAAGTAAGGGGGGGTGTGGTTTGAATATGAGCAGGGTAATTCTGGCCATTCGTTCAGGGCTATTCTGGGTTTTAACTAGTACTAATACATTAGGTTGTGGAAGTATAGCCTACTCTCGTATGCAGAGAACAGGCTTTCTTCAGCTTTCCTCGTTGTCCTGTTTGCAATTGGCTAAAAAGGAAAAAAAAAATATATATATAATAAGTCCACAGATTTATGATAATCTATGATATAAACTACAATATAAAGTTAAAACTTAAGAATTCATTTAAACTTTGATTTCATATAAAGTCTCAGCTTTCACAGCTTACTAGCGATATCGGGTCGAGCGGCCAATGAGGCGTCTAGGTATTTATTATGTCTATGGTATTAACAAGCAACATTGTAATAATTGTAATCCCCGTTTCGGAACAAAGCAATCTATCTACAGGTGTTGACAGCACCCTGAGACTTTGCTCATAGGCTAAACATTGGCCCCTTAGTGCTGGCCCTGCACAGGCAGCCCTCACTTAGCCCCCAGGAAGCTCTGACTATGCCCACACAGGGCCCGCACTATTAATCTACAACAATAAATCTGTTTCACTATAAATACTTCTCGGCTACTATAACTTAAGTCTTTGGGAAAAGCAGTTATTATACACCTGAAATGGATGCAGTCACCACATAACTAATGTCTGTATTGTCAAAAATGTTCAGTTGTCAAAGGGATTTCAAATAATTTAACACTCTGAAAGGGACTACGAATGATCTATTAAGTCGATCCTCATGGTTTTGCAAGGTTCTTAATGTGCAAGACCCTTTCACTTGAAAAAGACAGCCCACTACAAGAAGAATACAACTGGATTTCGTTCATTGACCACACTTTTGCACTCCTTTTCCCTTTTTTATTTTGTAAGTTCGATGCAGTGTTCATTCAGCCAGTCAGTCAATCAATCAACCAGTCAGGTGAAAAACCTTTAAACACAAATGCAAACACCACTTTAACAGCAAGCACAAGTAGATACAATCAATGCACACAGGATTTAAACCCTTGGTTTTAAATGACCATAAAGCAGACCATGTAAACAGACAGCAGATATTCAAACATTTACCATTTACAAAGTAAATACACTGTTGTTGTTTTTTTATTTTTATGATTTGATGATTACATTTAACCCATTAAAAAAAACAATAATGTTCAAATACATTCTTAGAATGATATAATGACACATGAACAAAAAATCCAGTTTCAATCAAAAGAAAAGTATAAAGCTCACCAGCTACATCTCCATTGATTATAGTGGGCTTAATTCTGCACAAAAGAGTTTGCTTCAGTCCAAGTAATAGCAAGTTTGCCACTTCTCAGTGCTGCTTTCTGCTGCTTCTCTACATTGACTCTGTTTTTGCTCTGCCAATTAGTAGATCAGCTTCACCTGGTGCACCTGGCTGGGAGGGGTGCCCCCAGCAGTCAGTTTGCTGTAACAACAAACATAAAAAATAATACAAATTAATATAAAAATGTCAAATGATTACTTTAACCTCTGCAGATAATATGTTTTGGTGTGCTAAGCTCACTCTTCCCCCAAGGTCTCTCAACTAGTCAGCAGACGGTGGTAGCACTCCTTTCGTCCACCCACTCTGTCTGTTGAATTTCGCAACCACACCTTTATCTCACTCTCAACTTCAGAATAAGGAGGACTTGGCTGAAAGGAGCGTTTTTATCCAGCCTCTGAAAAGCAAATAGGCCTATATGAAACAACACTGTGTGTGGTAAGTAATTTACATATGCTATTTCTAAAACTGCATGCTAGCTTACCTGTTACAACCCTTCTTAGCCTCAGGTTCTGGAAAGGTCTCTTTTGGTTTGAGCCATTCCAGTTCAATTGAGTGGCTAATGAATGGCCAATCAATGTTGTTAGTATTCTCCTCCTAGTTGCATTACAGGGCTGCCTACACAAAACCTGCATGGGCCCAAAGGTACAAAAGTTGCTCTGGGCCCGAACAGGCTGGCCCACATTGGGCCATCATGGGATTATTAATGTGGGCAGTCTGCTAGTGTGGGTTGCTCACAGAGAGCCTGTGGTGAGCCCAAATGTGGGCCTTGCCTGGGGTTTTGTTTAGGTTTGGTGTGGGCTGGCACTAGTCCACTGTGCCCGCAAAAAGCCAGTATGGGCCCCACAGGGGCATGCTTGCAGGGTACTTCTCTAATGAACACTGATGATTTTTGTCATTTATACATGCATACAAACATATTCAACTCACAACAAATGTAGATGAAAATTAAGACTAGCCTACAAATTAAAGAATGAGAGACTACTTAGGCTGTTGCTTTCACACCAAAAATGATGTCACTTCCCAAACAATGATGTTATGAAGGAAATGGCCTTAGGTATGCCTACATAGTCATAGGAAAAAATATATAGCCTAAATTGATTTGAACAGAAATAAAGATACACAATAAACAAAATCCAAACCCCACGTTACACTGATTCACGAAATGGGGAACTATAGAGCAGAATGAGACGCAGCAGGAGAAAAAGGTTTCTACATAATGGAAATCCCCCAGTGTCAGAGTCCCCCAATTTTCCTAATTTGTTGCTTTTATATTATATCAATCATTTCCATCTAAATACATTAAAATGCACTTCAAGTAATAAATGAGAAGTAACATTTGTGAAAGCATTGAATTCAAAGCATTATGTCATTGTAAATATACTACTAACTGCTTTGAAAGATCGTACAGTGTGTTGAGTCACATTTCTCTTACAGAGATTCTCTTACAGAGAATGTGTGCAGGAAAATATGTACAGTAACCAAATCCTGTTTTTACATATGTGGAAGCATTTTACCATTACATTTGTTTCTGAGGGAAATCTGAATTTGTCTAATTGTGTTGTCCTGCAATTTAAAGGTTAAACAAAAATTCTTTGCATCTTCTGATTTGCCTCTCAGGCCCTGTTTAAAATACCCAGTGTTTCAATGTCACCTTTATTTAGACTACAGTATTGTTAACCCTGCTTAAGTTAAAGTAAACGTCTTTTCTAATATTATGCAATCCTCAAATGCTAGATGTATTTTAAGATTATGAAGGATAGATTTTAATAGCGACAAAGTACATGTAAAGTAAGCAAGCAAGACAAAAGAAAAAGTTGATATGGAAAATTTAATAGGCTAAACTTTAAGGATAAATATTGAGGATGGATTAGAACATTAGTGAAAAAAACAGTAATTCAAAATTCCATATATACACATTTTTAAATGAACAGACATGCTGGGTCGCCCTCTGTACATACATAATGTGATGGGACCTCATTTCCACTGACACTGACATTCATACAGACAGGAAACCGCAACGTTTTTTGTAACATATAATAAATCGGTCAAATCAGGCTCAAACGCAACACATGTAACATTTTAAAGTCACTAAAATTGACAATCCAATCCAATCCCTCCCTCTTTTTTTTATTTTAGTAGATGTTTCCTTTGGATACAGTACATGGAAGTTTATTAACGCTATGAATTAAAAAATGAAAAAGGTAATTGTGACTTTTTATCTCACAATTCTCTTTTTTCTCCCACGAAATTCTGAGAAAAAACTGCAAAATACCAACTCAGATTTCTGACATTGTTTTTCTCACAGTGGTAATTGCAGCATTGTATCTCACAATTCTCATTGATTCTCATGATTCTGAATTTTGAATTGACCCTTCACCAGGAGTTTGATTGACAGGAGATCTGACCATAACAACCATAACACCTAATCTGCTGTTTTGTTCGACAAACAAACAAACCAGACAGGAGAGTAGAATGTCGGTTGACTTGAACTTGAAAAATTGTGAGTATTGACGTCTTTCAGCAGTTGAAACAAGATACCTTGTTCATTCATGTTTATTTCATGTTATTATAAAGTGGAAGAGATAATCGGTTCATGTGCCGCTTGAACTGAGGTGCTACAGCAATCTGCCACGACACATTAAAGGGATAGTTCACCCAAAAATGAAAATTTGATGTTT